AGGGTTTGGGCTTTCCCATCCTGGAAATTTGGTATCTCTCTACAGCAAAAAATTCTAATTCAAATTAAAATTGCTAATTCAAATTAGCAGTTCTAGGTGATAGTTAATGTCAACTAGTGTAGGAGAGTGTATTGAAAATGAGGATATACAATATTTATATGTATATATATAGATTTTGGTTTGGATATTAGGATAAGTTTTTTCAATGCAAGGTTGTCAGACACCAGATCAGGCTTCCCAGGGCAGTGGTGGAGCCACCATCCCTGTACTTCTTAAAAATATGTGTGAATCTGGCACTTGGAGATGTGGATTAGTGATGAACTTGGCAGTGCAGGGTTAACAGTTGGACTTTTCTTAGAGGTCTTTTCCAACCTTAAAAATTCCAACCTCTGTGATTCTCAAATATCCTCCAGGCATCTGGTGAAAATGAAAAGGTGGCAAAAAGCTTTCATCCCTTAAGTCTGTTTTTCCTATTTTGACAAGATTGTTTATGTCAATATTATTTCAGTAATGTTTCAAAACAGAAACCTGAATCATATTGAAGCAGTTTATATCTTCATTAAGATGTTTATTTTTAGGACCACTAAAATGCAACCTTTCTCTTGCCTCAAGACTTTATAATTATACAACTGAAAATGGAAATTATTCTGAGAAAGGACATAAAGAGATCTTTGGGGTGATAGTATCTATTTTACAAATACACAGTGAAATCCTGTTGCTATTTTTAACAGCCTGCTTCAGCTAAAAAAGGAAAACTATCAGAAAATGTAGAAAATGTGAAAAGGAAGTAGTACAGAGTGAATCCAGGGGATTGTTCAGAGAGGAAATGACTCAGGCAGTGGCTAAGTAAAGGCAGCTGCCTATCTATAGAGGAATTCAAAGAGTTAAAGGAGAAATTCCCAACCAAAATACCCTCAGCAGTGTGGATAGCATGAGGATGCTCTTAGAATAAGTGTGTCTGAATGAAACCACAGAATTGCCTGAGGTTTGCCCTGGGTAGCAAGGATAAAACAGCCACAGCCACGGGCAGGAATCAGAAGCCACAGGACAAACCTTTCCAGCCTCAGCAGACCTGGTGATGTGAGCACTGTTGTGTCATGGTCTAGGTGAAGGAATCCCTCTGGCAGCCAGGACATGAGCCCTGCCCAGGACCAACCCCAGGGCCCCTTTTCCCAGCATGATGGTGAGGGTGGGTTGAGACATACTTGAAGAACATCCAACTGCTCTGGCCTTAGTCCTTCCATCCTTCAACAGGGTCCCATCTTTCTTTTTCTCTCTTTGAAGGCAACTTGCAAGCCCAGTCTGGAGGACCTCCTGGTGGGAATGCATCTCTTTTTTCCAGCTTGTGAAATGGGGACTCACTGGGATCTGCAGGCAGAGTTTGTGTGTGTGCTGCACACTCTTTGCATGAGAGGTGCACCAGCATCCCCAGCATCTTCAAGCCAGGCCACAAGGCAGAGTTTCAATCTCCCAGTATCTACCTCTGCATGACTCTTTTTCCTTTTCTTCTCACCAGATATGTGTGGTTAACTAGTTGGAACAGAGAGAAAACAAAAGCCCTTCCTCCCATTCACATCTAATACCTGTAATTAATGAGCAATATAACTTCCCTCTTAGCAGGACATCAAGTAAAAAGACTCCCAGCATTTCTCATTAATAAAATGAAACCTTGTCATAAATCACAGCCTGTAAGATGTGTTACAGAGAACGTATCTCAGCAGCTGTTAGGGAGAAGCAAAGCTGGTGAGACAGTTCAGTGTCCTGTTGGTGGTGACAGTCCCTGTGGTTTGGGTCCCTGACTGCACAGCCAGATCTAGTGGGAGGGAGCAATTTATACCCACTTATGGAGCTATGAGTCTCACCCTGTCATGTGTAACTGCAAAGTTTTTACACAGTTGTTGTTCATATCTATGGACATGTTATTATGGCTTTAAGAAGTTCCCCAGCCACAGGGAATGAGAAAAGCAGTGATGATGTGACACACTGAATTCAAGCTGTGGAAAAAATCTCAGCTATGGCACTTCCCTGTTTGGGTTTCTGTGTGTTGGGGGTTAGGTTTTTTCAGGGAAGTTTTTTGCATTTGTTGTCAGGGAGATGGAAAAGAGATCAAGAGACAAAAGAGGAAGCTCAGTGCCTTGACATACCTTTGAAATTCTTCTGGGGACGAAGGGGGAGTGGGGTTATCTTGGCAGTTTCTTCACCGGGAGTGATCACTCTTTGCCCGGCTTCGGAGGGGAGATGCTTGTAGGTTTGGGGCTGGATTTCTGCAGCTCAGGGAGAACACGGCGCTGCCAGGCTGCTGCTGGGCCTGGGCGGGCAGCCCCATGGCCAGCACCGGCCCTGGCTCGCAGTACCGGGGGCTTCCCTCCAGGCAGCAACACTGAGCATAAAAAGGGCAAAAGGTGTACAAAGCGTACAAAGCATACAAAGCCCCGGTGCACCGGGGCACCGCCTGGTCGCAGTGATTGATGCTCAGTTTTGGGGTTTGATTTCTGGGCTGCAGCGCTGCTGCTGACATGCAGGTGGCAGCCACGAGGGGCTCAAGTCACCGTGCACACGCATTCCGCGGGGCAGCGAGCCCTGCAGTGCCACAGGCTGGCAGCAGCAGCAGTGAGCCCTGCAGTGCCACAGGCTGGCAGCAGCAGCAGTGAGCCCTGCAGTGCCACAGGCTGGCAGCTGCAGTGAGCCCTGCAGTGCCACAGGCTGGCAGCAGCAGTGAGCCCTGCAGTGTCACAGGCTGGCAGCAGCAGCTGCAGTGAGCCCTGCAGGGTCCATCCAAGAGCTCACCCTTGCAGTGACACAAAACCTCTAAGTGCATGGAACTATGCCTCTTCCCTCCACAGAGATCATATTTTATCACATTTTCAAGCCCTTTATTGTTTCATTAATATAAATTTATACGTACAGAAGTATGTTGTATTTCTATTTTCAAGCCTCTGTGTAACTGTATTTTTATGACCAAAACAAAAAATTTGACCCAGATACATAAAAAATCTGTCCAAGAACCATGAGTACAGGATCAGAGATACCATCAGGCCCCACAGCTGGAGCCCAGTAGGAGCAGGAGGCCATTGTCCAATTCTCTTTGGCCATCATCTCCTGCCCAGGGCTCCTCACAGCCCCTTGCCCAGTGCAAAGGGAAAGCAAGGGTGGCTGATAAGGGTTTATTCTGTCATGCTCACGGTAAGTTCCTTCAGCAAGTTCCTTCACCTGGGGGCTCTGCCCCTGCCCTTGCCCATGGGACACCTCAGTGGTTGTTTGCAGAGCAGCACTGGTCAGTCTGGAGGGGGACAGACGGCTGGTCAGCTCCTGGAGCAGTGGGGCTGGACAGAGCTGCCCCACCAAGAGCAAGCAGCAGGGGCTGTGATGAGAGAAGGGGAGGAGAAAGAGAGGAATAGAGGAAGAGAAAAGATGAAAGAGGAAAGGGAAGAGGAAACCAGCTTGGTGCTGGGGTTGTACAGGGAAAGCACAAGGCTGAGAATGGGACAGAGAAAAACAGAAAACACAGGGACAAAAAAAAAAAAAAAGAGAGAGAAACAGCAACTGAGGCAGAGAAGGGGAGCAGGACAGAGATAAAGAACCCTAGAATAATTTGGGTTGGAAAAGAACTTTGAGATCATCAAAGCCCAGCCATTAAACCAGCACTGCTAAATCTACCACTAAACCACTTCACTTGAATAGGGTGAAGAGGGGAAGTTAAGAGTAATGCTGGTGAGAGTAAAGCCTGAAGAGGACAATAGAAATTTTTAAGTATTCGTTTTAAGGGTGGGACAAGCTTTGGTCCTTTGTTTTGGGGTTTTTTTTTCCCTTGAAATATATTAGATAATTTTTAATGCTACACTTTAATATTAGATTTAGGAAGATCCAGGGCTTTGAAGCTCATTTTACCACAGAATCTCGATAAACTCAGGAAAATGTGATGGCACCTGATGTTAGTTACAGGGAATATTTCAGTGTTAGTTCTTAGGAAGGTATGAATGTGTATTAGCTTTGTGACTACTTTTACAAGTAATGTTACAGCTGAGATTAGGATTAAGGAACTGAAAAAAAGCAGCAAGATGAACAGAAATTAGGGCAGGTTGTTTCAAAGGCTGAACAACTCATATTGCTAAACAAAATTAACAGATATCAAAATTATTTCTTTTGTCTTGGATTAGTTATGGCACAACGGAAGATTGGTACTTGTTTGATTTTGTGGTTTATGTGTGTTTGAATACCTATGTAAAAAAAAAAAAGCCTCTTATATTTAACCAGTCTCATGTTCCAGGCCCTGTGAGGTCTGGGATGGACATTCTGAATCCAGCTATGCCAATGGATTATGCTGTTTCTCACAACTGTTTTCATTACTATTTCCATTTTAATTTAATTTCTCAGAACTGTTTTCATTATAATGTTGTCATCATTATGAAATGTCATTTCATATAATTTTCATTATGAAATGAAATGACATTTAATTTCATAACCTACATGCAGTAGGTTACCTCCTTTGCTTGCAGTATATAGCATATGTGGGCTTTCCTGACAGACTTGGATTAGGCAGTGCTCCCATAAACTCTCAAACATCTCCATTAAACTCCATAAACTTTTAGGGAGTGCTCCCATAAACTCTCATCTCCAGGTCTGAGAGAAGCAACTTCTAGCAAGCACTGGTAGATTTAATCTCCTAATGGCAAAGCAGGGCTCCTAAGAAAACAGCTATCCTGTACTTTAAGTTGGAGAAGGAATTGTGTTTCTTGCTGCTTTCAAATATAACTTTAGAAGGTAAAACTGAGAAGTCTGGCTAGGTTAAAACCTGTTGTGCTATCTTATTTTCCTTTCTGTTTTCTAAAGCTCATTAATCTTTCTTTTTCCATATTTATTTCCATAAGGTTTCTATAAAGGTATAATAGAATTGTGGCTAAGTGTATCCTCTATAATCAGAGAGCTGAGTTTTACCACCTGGGCTTCTTAGTTTGCATAAGCAAATAACAGATGTGAAAATACTCTGCAGGAGGAAAGCATGACATGAAACAAACATTTATTAAAAAGGACTGTACAGACAAATTAAACAGATCTCACACTGTTACTACTCCTATGAGGCACAGGAGTAAAATACTTAAAACACAGAAGCCAGTGAAAACACCAGATATTGCTAGAATACCTAAATACTAAAATGAAAACGTATGCTGGAGGAATTAGAAAACTGTAAAATAAATGAATAAAGCACTTTTAATTTATTTAAAGTACTAGTGAAGTCTTAATTTCTTGAATAGTATGCTAATTAAAATAACACATCAATGTCCATTCTTTCAAATTTAGATTATGTAAATTGAAGCCACTATCAGGTTCAGTCAGGGTCCTGTTTGTAAAGCTAAGGTTGAATTCAGGAAATGCAAGTATTTAAATTTGCCTTACATTTTCTCTATAGTTAATGGTATCCTTGGCACTAAAGTTTGGACAAATGATCCACCCTAGCTTGGGTATGAAAATTTCTATAGCAAAGCATTTAGATACAGTACAGTATTTGCATCCTTTTACTTACGAGCTTAGGGTTGATGACAGGGCAAAAGGCTTGGAATTTTATTTGGGGCTTTTTTCTGTTTGGTTTCAGAACAACAGGACTATCTTTTGGGGCAACTGATGAACCAGGAAAAGACCCTGGAAACCATCTATACCAAGAGAATTCAGTTACCTTGGATACCCTTTTAAAAACAATGACAAAGACAGGGTTAAACCAGACTTCAGTAATATTAAAGTCTCCTAAGCTTTGAGGAGAGCCTCATTGTGGCTATTAAGAGAATTTGACCCAGTTAAGAATAAAATTAAGTGATGAAGTATCCATGAAGACTTTAGATACAAAGGAAGAAGTCATTGTTGTTCCATGAAGCAAAACTGCAGTAGACTTTTGTTAAGAACTGTACCAGACAGCTTCCTCTTCTGTCTGAACACTAAGAAATCAATATTTCATAATTATTCCTCCAGTCTCTTGAGAGTTGCCTGGGAGAAAAGAGCCTGGGGCTGTCACGAGAAGAGTTCTTCAGTTAAACTTCTGTGATTATTCCATGAAAGAAAAGAATACTCTTTCCCTATAAAAGACACTGCTTCCTTCCCTGCCCCTACCCCCATGGTCCCCTAGTACACAATACATATTTTATCTCCTTGAAATGGCTAGAATCATAGAATATCTCAAGTATGAAGGGACTCATAAAGATTATCAAGTCCAACTCCCTGCTCCTCACAGGACTACCTAGCATTAAACAGTGTGGCTAAGAGCATCATCTGGGTGCTCCTCAAACCCTGACAGACTTGGTGCTTTGGCCACTTCCCTGGGTCACTGGACCAGTGACCAACAACTCTCTATGAGAAGAACCTTTTCCTGGTGTCCCACCTGAACTTCTCTCAGTGCAGCTTCATTCTATTTCCTCATATCCTGTTGCTGGTCACAGAGGGTGATCAGCACCTCCTCCTCTGCTTCCCCTTCGAGCAAATTGCAGGCTGTGATGAGGACACCCCTCAGCTCTCTTTTCTCCAAAAAGTGTCCTCAGCTGCTCCTCAGAGGTCTTGTCCTGAAGACGTTTTGCAATCTTGGTCACACATCTCCTCTAGAACGCTGTAATAATCTGGTGTCCTTCTTGCATTGAGGCATCCCAAACTGCCCCCAGGGCTCAAGGCCTCACCTTGTGCAGTGCAGTGCAGAGTGAGACAATCAGCTGGCAATGCTGTGCTCGATGTACCCCAGGTTGTGGTTGGCCCTTTTGGCAGCTGGGGCACCCTGCTGACTTATCTCCAGTTACACTCACTCTCAGCAATGCATGCTATTCATATGGCAGAACTTTGTAAAGAAAGTGAAAATTCATAAATACTAGTACAATTGATGCAAACAAAGTATGTCATATTAACTTTTTTTTTTTAAAAAAAAAACCCCTAACCTTGTAAAACACAAAAGCATATGAGACTAGTTTAAAAAAGTAAAAATACAAAACTGTTGTACCTAAATTAATAAATGGTGCATCCTTAAGTATTCTTCAGTTCAGGGATCTCCCAAGAAAGAAAGAACCTGGCAAAGTAACAGTCAAGTGAGAACAACTATGACTAACCCCACCTATTTCAGAACTGTAAGTCAAAGTCTCTACAAATCAATCCTTCTATTCACACTACTTCATTGCAGACCATCAGCCCACTCCATTGTCACTACTTCTTAAATTTATGTACAGCTACCATCAAAGTATGCTGCTCTCATGTATGCACTTCAGGGAAGTCCACATACTGTCTTTTAACTGTGCATTTTCCCTTCAGCTCCAGAGGAATTGCTCTGAACAGGGCACACAGCATGTGACTGCTCTGACATTTAGAATGGCAGAATCCAGTATTTGTGCTACAAAACACATATAACACACTATTGCCATTTGGAGCATGGAGTCAGACTATCTTCCATTATTGCTGTCTCAGAGACCAAATCCCTGTAATTCAGCTAGCACTATCTGCTCTTCACGTAATTTCAGGGGCAGGTGGTCCACATTCTGTCTGCTGTTGACCAATGATTTGACAATGTAACGTTAAAATGGGGGAATATCTCCTGAACCTGGCTTAAGTTTTAGGGTTATATTCAGTAAATCGCTCGTGTACTTTGTGGCAGACTTAGAAATTAATGGTGACATATGTGATTTGGCCAGCAAAATTGCATCATGAGGATTTATAACAGTTGCCAGCATTTGGCAAAGTTCTTGGAGCAGAGACTTGGGGCTTCCCTGTTCTTCCTATCTAAAAAGCCAAATTCTCAATATAACCACTCTAACATAATAATAGAGAGAAACCTGGGCTAAAGAGATAAGAATGTGAACAAGCAATTCCTGCATCCCAGAGTTACTGAAAAGAATATTTAACACTTGAGATCAATTTAGACAACAAAGGTGGTCACAAAACTGGGATTAGAGGTGAGTAAATGTCAAGTGCCAGTTCTGTAAGTGGATCACTGCCATCCTCCCCATTGCAAGAACTGTTGTTACATTACATGAAACAAAGGGAAGACATACAGGGAGTGATCTATTCCAGATGCTTTAGTCAGGGTTCTTTTGGCACACAAGGAATAAGAATACAAACTAGCCTGAAGTAAAGCTTATTTGAAAATGACCTATTAAAAGAGAAAAAAGTTAGAACATTTTGGTTGAGGGAGGACAATGACACCAAAACTCATTGGTTCTGGTGAAATACATAATTTTCAGCTGACACTGTTCCTCATGCATGTTCTTTAACTTTCCTATGCTCCAGTGGAGGATATGTCTGCCAGATTTTGACTGTAGAAAACAGGAACAGAAGACATGCAGAATGGCTGATGTGCAGTCTATGCACAAAGAGATCTGGGATATATCATGCATGTTTTCTAGAGAACCACAGTGTGTTGGTCAGCCGCAGAGTCTAGAAGGAGCACTAATACAGTTCATTTCAGCCTTGTTCTTAAGCCAATCAGTCTTTTGACTACTGAAAATAATAATCTGTAAAGATGTTAAAGCATGGCAAATTACATGATTTTTAGAAATTCATACGCAGCCAGCACCATTCCGAGTTTTAAGTCAAGTTTGAGGGAATGCTAAAATCAACTTCAGTAAATCAAAACCCATGCGTGTCCTTAATGCACTCATTTTCTGTATAACAAATCTCGTTTTCCCTGAACATTTCCTTTTTAAAAAGAGTTCCATTGGATACCCAAACCTACCCAGCCTTACGAGATTGGGAAACAAATTGTTCTTCAGTGAAACAGACAGTCTGCTATTTCAGCACTTCAAATAGTCTCCTGTTATCAGGATAATCTTTTAGTAACATCTGCTTTTTAAGAAAAGAACATAAAAGTATTTGTGGTAATCACATTTGGTCAATAGAAGCAGCCTGACATTTAGGAGACTTGCACAAAGAATTCCAGTTTGTTTAGGAGTACAAAAGATGGAACAACTGAAATGTTAAACTGTAGCACCAGTAATATTTACTTTCCTAAAACCAAATCCTAAAGACTGGAAGGAACTTAGAGCAGGAACATTGTGCTTACATTGCATTTAAATAGAAAACAATGAGACGGTCATACTTGAGTCTGCAATTCAGTAAAGTCTGGGCAAATTTGCCATTCTACTGGAAGAATACTGGGACAGGTCACACAGCTTATCAATCTTCTGCATTTCATTCATCCTGTTTCCTCTTGGGCTTTTTGGGGTTCCGAGATCGGCTCTTTGCTTTGCAGAGGGGACATATGGGTGCATTCCGATGGATTTGTTGGTGACACGACAAACAAGCCTGAAATGCAATTGCAGCATCTTGTTACAAACATCAAAGTGGCCTTGGTACAAGGGTTATTGAGTATCACACCTTAAGTTACAGTACAGACAAAAACAAGGCTCCTTGCCTCCAAATGCAAACTGGTGCTACATTCTACACAGTCTAGGTACGTGGATTTTAATGTCAGGCCAACTGAAAAACAGGAGCACCTCGTTGAATTAAAACTACATTTCTGCAGACATGTGGTTCATACATGGATCAGTAACTTTAAATTCTATTTTGTGTTAAATGTTACAGTGATGTTTTAAAGGTGTTTACCTGCCTAATAGCTCACTGAGTCAGAGAAGTTACAGTGATGGCCAATTGCAATGTTACAGAATTGAAGGCAGGAGCAGGTGATTGGATGAATTCCACATATTTAACACAAGGTGCAGAACTCTGCCCTTTTGCTCCAGACTAAGCCCTTTAATTTATATTTGACTGAAGCTTATTACTTGCAGAAGGGCTTCTCAATTGCCTAACTACAGATATTAAGTATATTACTTTGGAGTGTACCTACATCAGTTTGCTTTCTTAGTGACTCTTTGGAACCTGGTGGGATAAATATCCCTATACAACTACTTAACTCTTCTCACTATATAAGGAGCTGAGTAAAACTGTCACTTAACTGCCTGTGGTTATATTACATTAAACCACATTAGTCTTGAAGATCCCAATTGCAGAAGCAATTACCTTTCCTGGTAATTTATACCATTGGTAATTTCCCTCATAAAATATGTGCATTGCTTTTAATATGACTCCATATGACGTTAACTAAGAGCCACTACTTTTTCTTTTGCTAATATCTTTTTCTGGCTCCCATGTTAAACACAAGAGTGGGAATTGCCTTCATCTCTGCTGAGGGTGACTCCTAAGCCCTAAAAGATTCTCACCCTTAACCCTTGATGACTGGTGCTACTATTACAAGTCTACTGCTTGCTCTTGTTTTGAACCACTGCAAGGAAAATCAGAATCGGGACACGTAATTTTCCTTTTCACAAATATTGATCACTTCCTAAACATAATGAATTCCAGTAACAAAAGAGAAAACCCAGCACATTCCATCTCCTGACCTTCATTGGAGGTGGCTGCTGTCTGAAAGTTGCTGTCTGTCTGGTATCTTGCTTCCTGGCCACTTGCAGCTGTTGGGCTGCTGCTGCAGCTGCAGCCAGAGACTCTGGGATGGGAGGTTCCTGTGGTTCTGTCTGCCATTCTGCTTTCTGCTTTTCAAAGTAGCTAGACAAAAGAATGACAAACAAAAAAAATGTAACCAATTTCTGCCAAATTGCCTACACTAGTTCATATTGACTAGTTCATAAATAGTAGACAACATGTATAGAAAAAAAATAGACAATAGCTTCAGATGCACCTCTGTCAAACAGCTTTTCTATTTTATTCTGATAAAATTAATAACTTTTCTGAAAAGCAGATTAATAAACCGATTAATACATTCTTTGTTGTGCCAAGGTGTTTGGAATGTAAAGCAGCATTTCTATAGAAATACAAAGGAAATCTTGAAAACTGTGTGCCTTTGAAAACTATGTCAATTGTGCTGGGCAATAAGAGAAAATATATATTAAAACATCCCTTGCATTTAAAAGTGATCTGTTAAACAAAGGACACTGTTCTTTGAATTGTAGCTAATTCTGTCACTCTCCCCTGCCTAGCTTATACACAAAAATTAGACTGTGATTCATTATCCAAATCTATTCCACATCTCAGGGAAACTTGCTGACAGTCACAGTTATTTGGCTAAAAGCCACTGCCATGTGCAGGCAGCAAAAAGTAAAACTCTGCAGCACAACCCAATTGAAGAATACTTGGTTTGTATCCCTCTCATGTATTACCTCCTGCTATTGCTTGCTAGAGAAGTAATTTTCAGGGAAAAAGATTGCACATGGTATGTAGAGTTTGCTGCTTGGAATAACCTAGATTTACCTTGGAACAAATTCAGACTGAATGTTACCAAATACATGTCCTTCACATCCCATTTTTGTTAACTTTTAGTTTTCATGCTTACCTCTTGGGTTTGTTTTTTCTTCCACTTACCAACAAAATTCAAGTGAGAAAATGACCAGTAGAATTGAAAGAAAGCATAAAGACAGATAATGTTTGCTTTGGAGACTTACTCAAGGGACAGTTTCTCTTCCTCTTCACATAGGTCTGGCAGCCTCTGCAAACCCAGAGTCATTCTCAAGGCATCTACGTGCTCCTTTAGGGGCTTGTACTCCTCGTGCAGCCGGCGAGTAGATTCCAAGAGCTTGTTAAGATCATTCTCAGACTGCTTGATGGTGTTCTCCATCTGAAACAGGAGGTTGGACATGTCTTTAAAGAACTGTTCCTCTCTGACTGAGCAACAGATTGCATCAGAAAGAAGAGATTTTTCTCACTCAAGTTGGAAGAGATTTCAGACAATGAAATAGTAAAGGAAAGAATTAAGGTATTGGGAGGAAGAAAAATGGGCAAATAAAAAGCAACAGAAAGTGACACATGAGACACATTTTCCTTTTAAAAAGGTGCACTCAACCTACAGGACCTTCTGAACAAGAGCTGAGAGACAGGCTACAAATAAAGTCAGCAAGTGAGGAGCTATGGAAAACTCTCAAGTGACATTAAAAAAGAGCTTAAAGTAGCATAAACTAATTTTCTATGTTTCTAAGATACCTGAACACTGACTAGCAGAAGTTAACAAACAAGCTAAGGAAAGGTTTCTGCTTCTCTTACTGCAGCAAGTGGGAAAAGCAGCAGAGAAAAAGACAATCCGACTGGAAAAAGAGAGGAGGATGAAACAGGCTGAGGTTTTGTAGCTGAACAGGAGAGCAGACATTTGAAGTCATAAATAAATGCAGTCTGCACATACGTATGCAAGTACATAGCTTGTACTGTTTTACTTGTTGGAGCTTTTTCTTCCAGTGCAACACAGAGATGCCTTCAGAGCTAAAATATATTCCCTATTTAGCCCCTCTAATTGGCTAATCTTCCCTGTTTATAAATTGTTTTTTCTCTTGTGTGTATTAGTTCCTTTCAGGCTGGTGCTTCTTGATGTTTGGTGATTCCACTCTGTGATGAAGGTCAGCTCTTACTATGAACTTACCAACACTATTTATTTTCTCAAAACCTCTTAGTCCCACCTAGCTGCCAAAGTTTCTGTTTCTGGGTGCTAAATTACAAAAGTCTAACAGGAAGAACTGTTTTCTGTGGGACAGCTGGAGTGGTATCACTGTGCCTACTGGTAAAGTCATAGCCACAACAGGCTTGGCTATCCATCCTCTCAGTGCAACAGCTTATTATGACAACATATCCTGCCCAACAAAGGGAAAAAACAATTATCCTGAGGTAAATTTACTTTGCACTCTCTGCAGGATCCTAGGATGGTGCTGTACAGTCCACATTATGGACTTTAGTGACATTAGTGACGGTTCACTCATGCAGAATTCCACAAGCTGTGGAATGATTCATACCCAGCTGTGTGTTGGTCAGACTGGCTGAGCTGGGCTGTCACATACCACATTAATGTCAGCGTGGATCAGCCGCAGCTCCTCCACGTGGGCCATCTTCTCCTGCAGCAGCAAGTCCATTTCCTGTTTATATTCTTTCAGGTGCCTCTCCTCAGACTCCAGGGCTTCAAATTCTGCTTTCAGTCGTGCCTTTATTTTTTCCATTTGCAAGGTCTTATTCCTGAATCCCAGTGATAATTAGAAAGATTGAGAGACAACAGTAAGTCACTGAAACAGACTTTTGTGAGGTGTCAGTTTATATGGGATTAGATAGATGAAAAAAGGCAATAGCAGCAATAGACAAGAATGAGACTATATGTGTCTGAGAGAAGGTGAGGTACAAGAAGAATACTGAATTCTAATGCCAGCTCTTTTGCTGAGCTTTTCAGTGGTAAGAGAATTCTTGTACTGAATAATGAAATCAATAAAATATTATCAGTTTTTCACAGAGCATGGCAGAAAGCACTTGGACAATTGATTATGGTTGCATATTCCAAGTGCTATAGCTAATAACATGACCTGGGTTCCTCCCTTTCTCACTTCAGGAGTTTATAAAGCTGCAAAAGATAAAAACAGTATCATAAATAACTTCTACAATGTGTATTCAGAAGCAGGTGGTCTGGGCAGGGATAATATGAATGAATGAGATTTAAAACAGAACAATTAAAAAATTCCCATTTCCTCTCTTGTATTTATGATGTGTGTCTGCATCTCTCATAAGTAAATTCACTCTCATTCTTTTATCTCCTCCCTGTCATAACATTGAGTCTTTAAGTATTTACTTAATTTTATGACTGGGTTATTTCTGTGGAAGTATTTAATGCATATAAATAAGCATGTGTGTGTATGTTTGGATTGTGGGCATACAATGGATTTACTGAAAGCAGTATTCCCTTGCCTACGAATTATATGTATTTATCTATAGACAAAGATATGGATATAGATATCAGATTCCAGATTCAAAATGAGATTCCCACATCCCTTCAAAACCCAGCTAAGCTGTCTTTAATACATGATAGAGATCAACTACACAAATGGGCAAGTTCTTTGATTTTGTTCACAAAGACTTCTTTCCTCTCTGTCTGTAGAGTGCATGTAATGAAAATAAATTTTAAGAGTGCAGATTAAAATAAAGTCTGCTAAATCTATCAAAGGTGAATCTGTAAACATAAGGAAATCTCATGTTTATTTTGAAGGAAATTCTTCATAGAATGCAAGCTTCTTTAAAAAGATTTGGGAATGAGTAAATAGGTTTATTTGATCAGATTTTGTTTAAGGTGACTCAAAATGGACATCAATGTTGCAACTAGGACTGGCTTTTTGACACTGTTCTTTTAATTTAAAATACATTCAAGCAACTTTTTTGATATGTCATTGTACACTAAATCTAAACATCATCTTTGCTCTACCTTATGCCACAAAATAACAGGAAAAAATCCATCAAGTGCAGTTTATCAATCACCTTTGAATACGTGATCAGAAAACGAAATGCACTTTAAATTTCCAAATACAGGATACCACTCTCACTGAAAAAAATAATTTAAATTGTTACAGTAATAGGACCACACACTGCAGTAGGCTACACTTAGATCTGTTTTCTAAAACAGAGTTTGTGTACTAGTTGAGTAGAAAATCATTGTTCTTACACTGTTACATCTCTTTCTACAAATAATTTGGGGATATTAGACAGACAAATCTTTTTGCTTGATCTTTGTTCACCTTTGTGGTATTGTCTGAAGAAGGCTGAGGCCCATACTCTGCTACGTGTGCATAATACACTTGCTCAACAGATAAAATGTGCTTCTTAGACATGCTGTAACCAGCCAGAAGTCCCTGTGATCACCTGGGAACTGTGATTCCTTGCCAGCCCTCTCCTCTCTTTCTCTCTGATAGCCCCTCTTTGGTTGGCATGTCCCAACTTTTCATTGCTCTGGCCTTTCCCAGTCAGCATGCCTTCCACCTCCCAGCATCAAAATCACTGTCCTCTCTAACGTGTTTTAGCTTTCAGCTGCACTTCCAGCTAAACAGACAGCTCAGGCTTAATCCTGAAAATCGGTGTCCTAAGCCAAGAGTGGAAATGCCCTACCTAAAGTTATGAAAAACGCTCCCGATGGGGGCACGTGCTCTACCCTGCCTGGCTCTTTATGAGCCCTCTCTTCCAAAGCATCCTGCAACTCACCCCATGAAGGACGCTATATACAAATTCCTGCTGGTTTGCACTGCATGAAGCGCAGCCCGAGGCAGCTCCGGCCTTGTGGCAGGAGAGGACAGCAGAAAAAGCCCCAGCCCGGTGTGTCCCCATCCCCAGGCATCCCGGGCCGTGCCAGAAGCAGCAGGCAGGGAGATCTCTGCGAGGTTCCCTCGGTCGCTCCCTGGCCGAAGGGGAGGGCAGGGCACAGAAGCCGCTAAGGCTCAGCCGCTCCCTTCTCGTGAGCATCCACCGCTCCCCGCTCCCCGGAGCGCCCTAACGCCGCGGGGATGGATGGATGGATGGATGGATGGATGGATGGATGGATAGATGGATGGATTGATGGATGGATGGATGGATGGATGGATGGATGGATGGATGATGGATGGGGGATGGATGGATGGATGGGGGATGGATGGATGGATGGATGGATGGATGGATGGATGATGGATGGATGGATGGATGGATGGATGGATGGATGGATGGAGGATGGATGGATGGATGGATGGATGGAGGATGGATGGATGGATGGATGGATGGATGATGGATGGGGGATGGATGGATGGATGGATGGATGGGGGATGGATGGGTAGATGATGGATGGATGATGGATGGATGATGGATGATGGATGGATGGATGGATGGGGGATGGATGGATGGATGATGGGTGGATGATGGATGGATGGATGGATGGATGGATGGATGGATGATGGATGATGGATGGATGGATGATGGATGGATGGATGGATGGATGGATGGATGGATGGATGGATGGATGGATGATGGATGGATGGAAGGATGATGGATGATGGATGGATGATGGATGGATGGATGGATGGATGGATGGATGGATGGATGGATGGATGGATGAGGGATGGATGGAGGATGGATGGATGGATGATGGATGATGGATGGATGGATGGATGGATGGATGGATGGATGGATGGGGGATGGATGGCCGTCCTGCACCCCCATGGGGCTCTGCCGGTGCCTGCAGCGCTGCCCAGCCCTGTCC